ATCTGATGTAAGAATAGTTATTCATGCTCATTTTTGGTTTCCATTCGTGTGATATATCATTTTTCTATCCCTTCACTATTAGTCTGTGTGTGTCCTTACAGGTGTGGTGAGTCTCTTGAAGAAAGTATATAGTTTGATTTAGCTTTTTAATCCAATTGGTCTGTGTCTTTCGAGTGGGGAGTTTAATCCATTTACATTTAGGGTTGTATTGAAAGATATTGTCTTACTCCTGACATTTTATCAATTTTCATTTGGATGTTTTAAATATCTTTTGTTCCTTTCTTCTCCTTTCATTGTGTGCCTTTGATGTTTGTTGGTTTTTTGAGGTGGTAAGATTTAGTTTCTTTCTCTTTCTCATTTGCATATTTGTTCTACCAGTGAGTTTTGTTCCTTCTTGGGTATTCATGGTAGTGATCATTGTTTTTCAGATTCCAGATGCAGGGCTCCCTTGAGGATTTTATGCAGAGCTGGTCATGCTGCAGTGAACTCCCACCGTTTTTATTTGTCTGGGAAATACACTATATCTCTCTCATTTCTGAAGGATAACCTTGCTGGATATAGTGTTCTTGTCTGGCAGTTTTTTCTTTTAGTATTTTGAATATATTGTTCCATTCTCTTCTGGCTTGCAGAGTTTCTGTTGAGAAGTCTGCTGTTAGTCTGATGGGAACTCCCTTATAGATGACTTGAAGTTTTTCTCTTCCTGCTTTTAAAATTCTCTCTTTGTCTTTGAGCTTTGCCAGTTTGACTATAATGTGTCTTGGAGAAGACCATTTTGGATTGAATCTGGGGATCTTTAAGCCTCTTGGGTCTGAAGATCTACATCTCTTTCTATACCTGGGATCTTTTCTGCTATTATTTCATTGAGTACATTTTCAGTGCCTTTTCCTTTCTCCTCTCTTTCTGTACCACCTATGATTCAGAAGTTTTGTGTATAATAAGGCTGTCTTCTGGCTCTCTTAGATTTTCTTCATTTTTTAATTCTTTTTTTTTTGCCTGAGTTATTTCAAAAAGACTATCTTCAAGACCAGAAATTCTTTCTTCTGCTTCCTCTAAACTGTTGCTTAAGCTCTTGGTTGTGTTTTATATTTTTTTGACTGAATCCTTCAGTTCCAAGAGTTCTGCTACATTCTTTTTTAAGGTAATAATCTCTTTATACATTTCTTCTTTCATATTGGATACTCTCTCTCATTTTGTGTGTTGTCCAACAAGTCTTGTATCTCATTGAGTTTCCCTAAGATTGTTACTTGGAATTCCTTTTTACTAATTTCAAGAGTCCTGCTATATGGGTTCTGGTACTTGAGAGTTATCATATTCCTTTAGTGATATCTTTTTTTTTTTTTTTTTTTTTTGTTTTT